AAGAAGAAGAAGAAGAGAGAATTTAAGAAAGAAAGAAGAAGAATAAGCTGTATCAAGGACCTGAGATCGAATCCTGTTTTTATCACAGAAGCAAAAGGATTACTTTTTATTGGATGAAGATAAATTTAAAGAAAAGTAAACTAGAAAAAAAAAAAAAAAAAGAGAGGAGGAAGATTGGAAAGTAAGCAGTACCATAGATTTTCTTCCAATGATGATAAAAGGTGAGGACTCTAGGGAGAATGTTGTGGGAGAAATTAGGCATGGGTGTAGAGGAAGCCTTGAGCATCATTCCAACAAGCTCCTTGACATTTCCAATGAAGAACTGGTAAGGAGGACCTCTAATTCCTTGCTTGGAGAAATGGTCTTCGATTTTCCGAGGTCTCCACCAAAGCAGAATGCCGAGCTTCAACACGAACACAGACACCACCAAGGTGACGATAAGTATCTCGAAGCAGAAGAGGAGTTCCATCTCCATGACAAAGGAGAGAAATTAAGGGTATGTGAAGAGGAAAAAAATGGGTCTCCTCTCCTTGGCTTGGGTTTGTCTGTTTATGTTATGCTGGTTTAGTTCTCATACTGTTTGTTGGGCTTTTTATTACAGTGGAGAGGAAGAGGAGAGAGATTCAAGCAAGCAAGGCCAACGGCGTAGGGGCCGCCATTGGAATTCTATAGGGTCAACGATTGAGGGATTTAAAAATAAAATAAAATTACATACAACCTATATTATTTTTAACCTTTTATGATGAGGAATAGAATTTCATTAATATAAAAAAATTATAAAAGTTATAAGATCCATTTAAATAGGGTAATAGTTAGAAGTATTATTATATTTATAAAATGTATCAAAATATAAAATTAAATAATTTAATATTGTATAAATATCATAATCAGACTTAAATATAAAATTTAGTAATTAAATCATATTCTAACATAATCCAATAATCCATTTGAATAAAAGATAAACTGATTTCAAAGGTTGAAAAATTTAGACACCATGTCTTTAACAACTAAAGCATACACAACAATTATTTTGAGACTAACCAATTTCGTGTTCCAATAGCCATCTTCTTCTAACAATAGCAAATCCCAATAAAAAATATCAAGAAAGTGAAGGTAAGAATCCTCAAAAGAGAGAAAAAAACTTCTACAAGAAAGGAAAAACCTCTTATAAGAATAGAGAGTACTCTCCTTTAACCATCTAGGCTAACTACCAAGGGAGAGAAAGAAGGTGACTACTAGGGAAAAATGAAAATAAGAAAAGGAAGAGAGATTGAGGGAGAGGGAAAGGAGGGAACAAGAGAAGGAAGTGGGTGGCAAAGTTTCTTAGAGTTAGACCCATTAATCATGGAACTGTAGTGTTTGTAGTTCATATAGGATGCAAAACACCATTTTGATATAAATTTATATAAATTTAATAATAAATAATTCGAAAGATGTTTTTTTCCCACATTCAGAATTGTGGAAAATTTTTAGATATAAAATTTCTTTTCCATAAACCTCATATATAATAATTCAGTTTCTCAATTCGTTGATTAAAGTTGGTAAAATGTTCCATTCAGTTCCTCAATTTGTTGATTTGTCCATATTCGGCCGCTCAGCTTTTTTCAGTTCTCAAATGGTTCCTAAACTTCTTTTTTGCACCCGAAATAGTATTTCCGTTAATGAAAGTTTGACTTGAAACATCTGTCAAGAAATTTATCTTCCTAATTAATAAAAATGATGCGAAAAATTTAAAATCAAGATTTTTCTTATTTGACATATTTTGGACTTTAATAGTGTTTTGTCATAATAATACTATAATTATAATATTACATAAAATTATAAATTTCTAATTATAATATAATATTAATCAATATAATAAATTATTAAATAAATATATATAATATATCACAAATAAATTTTTAAATAAAAAATTAATTTTATAATAATATATTATATTATAAATTTATAATATTACATAATATTTTAACTATTTGCCAAGCCTGTAGGCTTAAAATGAGATTTTTAATCCTAAGTTAACTTAAAATATAAGAAGCTATTTGGCCTCCCTAGGGTTTCTCTTGTGCACTACTTTTAGGGTTGAGAGCAGTGACGACGGGTTTTCCTCCCTAGGGTTTCTCTCTGGCATAGAAGTTCCTTCATCCCTCCTTTCTTCTTACCCCTCTCTTCCTCCTCTTGATCTTCTCCTTCCTCTTATCATTGTCTTGCTTTGGAAACTCTAACCCAAGGGATCACAAGGCTGTGGCTTTTTGGGTTTTCTAGGGTTTACATCTATTGATTTTCGAAGGTTGCAATTAGAATTGATCTTGCTGGTGAAGTGGGTTTCTCCTATTTAATGGGCAAGAATCTCACTTTGGTGCATCTCCTCGGATGAGATCTTGGCGGGGTCGAATTCAGCGAATCTGGTTCACACCAGTTCTCGATCAACTAGCCGATTGCTGAAGGAAAAGGATGCTGTTGGTAAGGCCAACTATGGTTTGCGTGTGAAGCCTAATTTTCAAGCCAACAAAGAGGCTCTAGTTCCTTTAATGAGTTTTGACAGCATGGGTTTGAAGAGGATCAGCAAAGATGGGAACATGATTGGGAGTATATGGAGGCAACTGGGGGCCTTGTGCTTGTCAAGAAAAGGCCCATACCCCTCTTGGTTGTTCTTCTTTAAGAACAAGTAGGGCAGCAACTTGTGGCTTGGGGACTGTTTGTTGTTGGAATCCCTTGCTCTCCCCAAGAAGCTGGTTAAATAGGTGAGGATGTCCAGTAGTTTTTAATGCTCATAGTGACTCCCCTTTCTACATTAGTAGCCCTATTTAACTTATACAATGATTATAAATTCAATCCCTAGTTGCAGATGACTCTCTTTGCTTGATTGTCTATATCCATCATGGTTATAGTTTAAGGCTGTTACTAGTGCTGTAGGTTATACTTCTGATTTTGTCCTTAGGTTATTTTGATTTTGGTTATATGTCATAAGATGGAGATTCTGTTGTAATTTCTCATTACTTAATATATTTTTCTATTTTCCATAAAAAAATATAAAAAACTAATTATAAAATACATAATTACAAATTTACCAACCACTTCCCCTTCTACCTCTTCTCCACCCTCTCTTCCTCTCTTTCTCTCTCTTCCCCTTGATCGAGTTCGCCATGAGTTAATATGCAAATGGAGGACAACTCAAGTTTTGCACAAGATCAATATGGTTAAGGAAAATAATTGGTATGACAATTAGTTTAATATATTTTTGAATATTTATTTTGGTTTAATTATTAAAATATAATATAATCACAATCAATTTAATTAATTGTTACATTTTGTATGTATAGTTGTATTTTTAAATTTATTTGTATTTAATTTTAAATCAAAAAATAATAATTTTTTAAATAAATATATTGTAAAATATGTTAAATTGAAATATGTATTAATCATTATCCTATGATTAAGGTATGAATAATTTAACACGAGTGAGTCTCTTTCCTCATATTTTGGTTTAGATGACCTCTTTCTCTACAATTTGAACTAACAATTAAAAGCTTGAATTCTCAAATTCACCCTGAACTAAGATGACAGGAATAGATATACCCCTAAAAAAAAAGGTGAAAATAAATTGCCTTTCCAAATCATCTATCAAGATAAATAACTTATTATTTTCATATTGTGGTTTAGATGACCTCTTTCTCTGCAACTTGAATTGATAACTAAAAGGTAAAACTCTCAAATTCAACCCCAAATAAGATGATAGGGACATATTTAGCCCTAAAAAAAAAAGGATAAATTATCTCTCTAAATTATTGATTAAGACTAATCACTCATTAGTTAATGTAGGATATCATCACACATTTGGAATTCATTTGCCACTTAAGTCTATTTTTAATGGAAGGTTAGCGTATGATGGCGTCACATGTTAAATAATGAATGATTTGTCTTTATTGATGATTTAGAGTAGTAACTTGTCCCCTTTTTTTTTAAGACAAATCTACTCTCACTCTTTTATTTAGGAGTGGATTCGAGGGTTTGGCCTAGCTAAAATCATATTTTATTAAAATTTTGTTAGATTTTAATAATAAATAATACAATCAATCCAAACTCAAATAATTGATGAACAAGTTCTACATGCATAAGAATCATGTTTTATTTTTTTGATCAAAATCTATTGAAATAAGAACATGAAATCACAAACTAAAGTTAATCTAAATCGCACAGTTAAGTTGAGAGAACATATATCTCACTATATTCTTTGCCTTGAATATTGATAGAGGCCCTTTGTATAGAATGGTTTTTTAAAAACAATTATTGGTATACCTTTTGATTTAAAAGACTTTACAATATATTTATTAAAATATTATTATTTTTAAATTTGAGTTAAAGGCAGAAAAACTTAAAGATACATAATTTAATAATTATATCAATAGATGTTGTTAGATATATTGAACAGGAAGATGTACCAATCATTTTTTGTTTTTTAAAAAAGAGAATAACATTTTTATTTTCTTGTTTAAGTTATAATTGTTATTTATCACTTATTGATAATTAATGAATATTCTTATAATTAATTTGAATACTATTCCTTTTATTCTAAAATAATTGCCATTTTTATTCAAAATTTATTTCATAATTATCACTTTTTATTTTTGTAAGGGAGAAATATTTTTTTTCCTATTTAACCTTATTATTGTCCCTTATCTTCAATTATCCACCGTATTATCAAAATTTTCTCCTCTCTTTATCTCTTTTTTAAGGTTAATATAAGTAAATATATAAATTATTCCTAAATTTTTAATTAGTGAATAAAAGTTTAAAAAACCCATAGATTTGTGGTTTAGTTGGTAAGGGAATTTGCTCCATACTTTGTTGATTAAGATTTGATTTTGTAGGGAGGCTAATAAGGAGATAATTTCTCATGAATTTTTTAATTTCAACATGGATAACCTACTTTTGATCAAATTGAGAAGTGATTAGTTTTGAGATATGTAAAAGTTGGAGACACCCTAACCACTAAAACAAAATAAAAATGTTAAAAAATGATAGTTATTTTTGGATGGAGGGATTGTTAAAGTTAACTGATTTATTATTTAATCAAACAAATCTTTGTGTTATTTATGTCAACCTATAAGAAAAAATGCAATAATATTCATAAAATTATTTAAATACTCTTAATGAATCATCCATATATATTGATTTATTAATGATACTTGAGTCTTTTTCACAAGTATTCTTGCACTGTTTTTCTACAAATTGACCTGAAAGAGAGCCTTTCTATTTTAATTATTACTGAGGTTGTTTGTATCCAATGCGAATTGATTGATCAACTAAAATTGATCCAATTCAATTAAAATTTAATCCAGATTAACATTAATTTAGATGGATTTGAATTATAAAATTTTAAAATTGATATAAATAGTTTGGTTAGTGATTTTGCTTTTAAATTGATGAAATTATCTGATTACAAAATAACTTAATTAAATAATATATATTTTATTTATCTCAAAATAATTGTTGTTTTTTTTTTTCTCTCAGTATTAAGGATTTGAGCACAACTTACATATTTACCTATATTACCTTTTAAAAAAACTAAAAAAATAAAGTGAGACTTTATAGGATAATTAATTAAAGTAAATAGATAATGATAAGGTTAAAATAGGAAA